CAGATTAAGGCCACTAGAACCCAGAATGGACCGGCGACCATTCCGAGCGGATACTGACTGATAATACATACCTCAAACATGGTAGAATAATTATAGTCAATGTAATACCCAGTCTGAGTCCCCACCTGAACTGTTGATCTGAAAATGTAAGTGCTGATATCTGTATCCTGATCAAACTAAAAAAATAATATAAACAATTACTGAATACTATGCTCAGACTGATAAAAATAGTTGTTTAAAATGTTAAGATGCTCTACTGGACTTAACATGATATTTATATTTAATCGGTATAACAGGAACCGGTTAAACACGGAACTGAACTGATATAAATTTACTGAACCGGACCAGGCCCGGAATTTAACTGAAATTAGAACTTAAAACATGAACCGGGATTTAAATATTAAAATATAGTTCAAACCGGTCTAAACCAGATCTGAACCGGCTTGGCCGTACCGCCGGTCTGCTGAGGCCGACCGGTCGGCGGCTGACTCGGCCCACGGCCTTGCTGCGGCTATGGCACGACGGCTGACGGGACTGGGTGCGGCCACGGCCACTGCAGGGCCTGCCTTGGTCACGACCAAGGGTGTTGCGTGCACCTGGCCATGGCTGACATGAATTAGGCTCATCGGGTCGTGACTTGGGCATTGCCGAACGCTACGTGCGTCGGCTGCCGCGTGACTGGGCACGGTCGGGTGTTACCGCAAACTGCGACGTGCTGCTTAACTCGTGAGTGCGCTCACAGGCGCTGGCTGGACATATCTGGCGCTGCGCGGGTGCTACTGACGTGCGACTGTGCACTCTGGCATGCGTTACTGCACGCTAACGTGCACGACTGAACGTTGGCGTGCATATACTCACTACCAACAACTACTTGCTACGATACTAGCCACACGCGGCGGCTATACCGCGCACCACTCACACCATGCACACTTGCCGGTACGCTGTGGCCGCGACGTGCGGACAACGCAAGTACGGCCGACCCTCGTCGGCCGTCCGGCGACCTTCTCTGGCAACTCCCAATTAACTCAACATATAATAACGTGACATGGTCACATATACCGATTTTCTTCAAAATTCATGAACTTTGCTCGATAGACTCGAAGTGTCTCGAGGCATGCGCACCGCGCGCGCATGTTCGGCGTTAAGCCAATCCCTCGATTAAACACGAAATTCTCTCGTCCAACTTGACTTAACTGACTATAAAATGACCTAAAATAACCAATTAAACATGAATTGCTCAAATAATCATGATCACAATAAAAGGTGATATGACAAGGCATAAAATGGCCCGTGGGCGTGCGCTACGTGCGCAGCTCACGTCCCTTGGCCAATTCATTGATCGAACATGAAATTTTCTCAACAAACATGAATTATCTAAACCTATATTGACATATCATGATCAAATCGACATGAAGGGTTCAGGAGTTGTCGGATCAAAACGGGTATTACTCGGTCATGACATAAAAGGCATGAAACCGCACATAACTCGACTATACTTGAGTCAAGGATCATGAGCTGAACATGGTACACCCAAAATGGCCATATTAACTTAGGAAGATGATAAAAACGAAGTTAACTCTTCGATCTTTCGATGAACTGTACGTGACTTCTTGTAAACGGGACCTTGCATGCGTATGTTGCTTCATCTCCAAGTGTACGTGCGTTAACTTAGGTTTAATTAGAGAAGAAATCTCTAAACTTTGCTGAGTATTGGCTTAGGAATAAAGTAACATCTTGCCCAATATTACCTTTAAATATGTGGACGGATGATGGTGAAATTTGAAGGTAAAATTTTTGGCCAATGGCATTGTTCCACTTGCCTTGCACCTAAGGCTTGAGGTGTAACCTATTTTGCTTAGTCACCTTCAAGTAAACCATAGGCTTCCAAGTGTACTTTAGTCATGATGAAGTTCCAATGAAGAAAGAAAGGGCAACTCTCGGTACCAACTGGCTTAGCGTGGAGATGAGCTAATTAAAGGTGCTTAGGGCTAAATAATTATGTCCTTGCTACTGGCGCATGCTCAATATACTTGGACGTGCACAATCCTTACATAAGCTTAGATAATGTGCAATTAACTCTAATATATGATGATGCACGCCATAAATTCTTACTTAAGCATGATTAAGCTCGATAAAATATTTATCGAGCGATTAGACATGAATTCATTATCGGAAATTATTCCGAACATGAACTTGATATTCGAAAATTAATTCGAATACTCTTAACTTAAATGATTAATTCGAATATTAATACTTCGAATAATTAGTCAACTTTAACTTATTAATTCCGAACTCATTAATTAATTAAATGAATCAGAACTAAATATGAAAACTCATTCGGTTATTAGAATAATCAAACCGAATAACGTATCGACTAATAGTCGAACTGGAATATAACTTAGCTGAATAACTTGAACTTGGACATGAATATAATTATTTATTAACAAAGGCTAGCTTAAAATTAAAAGCTAGTATTTTCCTTTATTAATAAAACTCGGGGTGTTACATCCTGCATATGGCTCATTGTGTATGTAGATTATATACTCATCACTGGCTCTAATGTTGCTGTCATCTCCACAATCATTGGTACTCTTAGGGAACAGTTCTCCTTAAAGGACCTTGGCCTAATACATCACTTTCTTGGAATTGAGATCAAACACACTGCCCCAGGTCTCTCCCTCTCTCAGTCTAAATATGTTCAAGATATCCTTGTCAAAACAAAGATGACTGATGCCAAACCACTTCCAACACCCATGATCTCATCCTTCTCCCTCACTAATAACAATGGCAGTCCAATGAAGATCCCACACTTTATAGGAGTGTAGTTGGTTCACTTCAATATGCTTGCATCACAAGACCAGACATCTCCTATAGTGTCAACAAAGTCTGTCAATTCATGCAATGCTCCATGGACACCCATTGGAAAGCAGTGAAAAGAATCTTAAGGTACCTGGCAGGCACTATGTCTTATGGCCTACACTTCACCAAAAACACAAGCTCTCATCTTACAGGGTTCTCAGACTCTGACTGGGCAAATGACTTAGATGATAGGAGATCCACATCTGGGATTTGTGTATACCTTGGCAAAAATCTCATTTTCTGGTGCTCAAAGAAGTAATCATCTATTTCAAGGTCAAGCACTGAGGCTGAATATAGAAGTCTTGCTCAAGCCTCTGCTGAGTTGATCATCTGGATTACCTCTCTTCTGCAGGAACTATCTGTACCATGCACCCAAGTGCCTACTGTGTGGGTTGATAACCTTAGCACAATCTCATTGTCATCCAATCATGTTCTTCGTGCTAGAACCAAGCACATTGAGATCGACATCCACTTTGTAAGGGATCAGGTGGCTAAAGGCAAACTTAAAGTCCATCATATACCATCAGTTGACCAGGTTGGTGACATCTTCACCAAACCACTATCTCTGCAAGCCTTTGCTCGGTTCAGAAATCTTTTACAAGTCTTTCCTGTCACCTCCTTTGGCTTGAGGGGGGATGATAGCATATATGGCCTCCATGCAGACGTGCATAATGCATACATAAGCTCCACATCAAAAGCATATAACACTCCTTGGACATGTCATCATAAAGAACATTGCATGGTCAATGAGAGTCAAATGGAGAACCTGCCACATCACCATGCACGGGCAAGAGGAAAGAGAAGGAAGCAAAATGATATAGATAGTGAGGATTAAATGAGAACCGTAAGATACAAGTCATATGGTCATATAAATAGTTTACCTCATTTGGAACCCTAGAACAATGAGCCATGTAAAAGTTATTGTACAGTTTTCATGAAAATGTAAGCTCACATTTTTGGCTTGCTCTGTCATCTCGATTTTGCTTAATCTTCATATCTGCATTTGGTTTCTCAATAGGCCCCCTGAGCCTTCTTTGGCTCCGTCTCTGGTGCCACATATGTATAATATATGAGGTTTTATTTAATGGATTCCTATCAATTATATATATCTAGATAATATTTTTTGAATTATTTATCACATAATATTTACTACTAATATTAACCAATTATAAATTCACACTAGAAATTTATGCAAATTATACACTAACAAAAAAAATATAGGATTTTTTTTTCTTCAGTTTTTTTAATTAAAATTAATATCATCATTTTATTTTTATCTCGTTAAGCAACATTTTTAACAACTAAATGTTTTAATGGAACAAACCATTTAAAACTTCATAAATAATAAGCTAGTTTATGGTGATTATAACACATTATCAAAGTTTATAAGCCAACCGAATAAATTATAAGCTATTCTATCGTGCTTACCAAACATACTCATAATAAAATATCAAATTGCATTTTCTTTTATATTACATGTTCAAACGTTTCTTGCATGTTCAATGTTTTTTGCACTAAAAGATAGAATAAATGTTACTAAATTACAACAATAAACAGATGACCTTTGCAAATTTCCCGTCCTCATACAGCCACCACGCAATTTATGTACGCATTCAACCAAATAATCCCCAAAAGTTTTACTATTTCAAACTTTGGCCACATTTTTCAAACATCACCGTCAACACGCTAAGCATGCACCAGTAAATTTACGCGCTTTGTCCACAGTCCATATATTTAAATAATTTAAAGTACAATCATTTTATTTTTCTTTCTTTTACTTTGGTTTAAATAAAATAATAAAAAAAAGTATTGAATTATATATGTGTATTGCTAGATTTATGAACGTGACGAGTCAAATTCAAGTTTTTATACACGAACTAGGCTTGAGTCTTTATCTAATCGAGCCGAGCTCCGACTTGTGTAGTCGATAAACAAGTTCAAACTCGCTTCATTTATTTGTATTAAGTTACTAACAAGTTAAAAGTATAATAGGAGAGACCGAAAAAAAAAAAGATGCAAAGCTTATCCAATACTCGGCAGTCAGCACTATAAATGCCCGAAAACCGAACTTCAATCAAATCTTTCTCCACACACAATCACAATCAAAACCCCAAATTACTGGCAAAAAGATATAAAATAAAATGGCATTGACAGCGAGAAAAAGCCCCCGCTACCTCGGCGGCGCCACTGCCGTCGCCGTCGAGCCAATTTGCTCGGATTCAGTCGACAGTCGATTCGAGCTCGACGAGTCTGAGATTTGGGCTGTCGACGACGTTCGTCGGCCCGACAGCCCTCCGGCCAGAAATACTGCCAAAAAGCCCGCAAAAGCGGACTATCATCATATCCGCACGGGCCCGAGGTCTGTCCCGGTGAACGTCCCCGACTGGTCAAAGATCCTCGGCGGATGCCAGCCACGCGCCGCCGTGTCCCCGGAGAGCGAGGGCGCTGGAGATGACAGATTGCCACCTCACGAGTTTCTGGCGAGAACTCGAGCGGCGCCTTTCTCGGTGACGCTGAAGGGTAGTGATTTGAGGAGGGTGAGAAATGCGATTTGGAAGAAAATTGGGTTCGAGGATTAATTTTGAAAAAATATATATATAATGGAGGATGATTGAAATAACCTGATGATTTAAAGTTGGATGTAAAAGTTTTGTATGATTAGGGTGTTGAAGAGATAGGTTTCCTATACGTACTTTGATTTGAGGGGGATTGTATTTTTGCATGTATTCTGTGTGTAGAGAAAAAAATTGTTAGAACAAAATTTTTGTGAGTTTATTGTTGAATTGTTTGTCCAAGGTTAATTCTTTTTAATTAATGTTTATTTATATTGTAAAATGTGATATTTTTATCAACAGTTGTTGTTTTTATATTAAGACGCCCAAAAAAAAAAAAAAAGACTAGGCATGTCCACCGGTTGGTACCGACCAGAAAGCCAACGGTCTTGGATTCGGTCCAAAACCGTTGACCACGGGCCTCGAACTGGCATGTGGTTGTATTGTTGATTCCAGTTTCAGTTTCGGTTCAGTCCAGGATCGACTCATTTAGTTATTTTTATTTTTTTTTCATAATTCATTTTTAATAAATAGAAATTTTTCTTGTTCTGGGTCGGGCCCAAACCCTGAATAGGGCAAATCAAGACCGTTGGATTGTTTTGACTCTTTGAGACGCAACGACACTTTTTTTTATTTGATTACGGTTCCGTGCTGGGCCAGTTCGGATTCAGAACCATGTGATCCAACAGTCAAACTTTTAAAATACACCGTTGGATCAATCTGAACCACTTGTTCAACCCTAACCCGAGAGTTTACGAATTATAAAAATTAAAATAAAAAAAATTGGATTTTTTGTTTGTTTGTTTGTTTGTTTGTTTGTTTTTTTTGTATAAGTACACCCCCCAGGGTTAGGGGTCAAAACTCAAAAGTTGACATCCGACATATTCACATGGCATTCACGACGGTTCCTGATACTAAATAAGGTTACAAAAATTTTATATGTATTTGCAGCCACTATCCGCCCAAGGCCATGAAGAGGTACGCTTTTATATTCGGCAATGGGTACGAAACCATGCAGCGATATGTACGGACCTATCATCCATCTGAAATGGGGATTCCGACGACCCAAACACAAATCTAGAGAAGCAACACTACATTTGTGACTGTAACAAGTTCTTCTTTATTTCATTACTCTAATGAAACTATAGACCGTAAACGTAATCTAACTAAATTTGTTTATGCTTTATCTCTTCCTTTTAGGTTTTACTGATTCTCAATTAAATGAAAATTTGCTCAAATAGCTTTACTCATAGTTATGTTTCAGTTCCACGTACTACTCTCACTCGGGATATTCGAAATATAGTGGGTGAGAAAAAATTAATTCTGCCGCAAACTTTTAAAATTTTAAACCATAAAATTTACATTTGTTGTGACATTTGGTCCGACAATTGGCAAGATAATAATTATATGAGAATTACTTGTCATTGGTTTGATGATAGTTTTACATTACAAAAACGTTTTCTTACACAGGATTTAATAACTCTCACGTTGTTGTGAATATCATTCGTTTAATTGCATGTGTCTTGAATACCTATATAATATTTCAAAAACTATTTTTCATTTGTTTTGACAATGCTAGTACTAAAGTTGCTGCTTTGACTAAGTTTAGAGTAAATTGCCGTCCTCTTTGTAGTAATTTTTTTTTTTTTTTTTTTCATATTTAGTGTATGTGTCATGTCATTGATCTTTCTGTTCAGTTTGTAAGGCTTTAAAAGATTCGGTCACACCCAATGAAAAGATTGTTATGTACTTGCACCATCATCATCAAGAAATGAAAAAATGAGGGAAACATTTAAAGATTGTGATGTTGTACCCATAAAAAAAAACTCCAACTGGTCGTTCCTTATTGGGATATATGAGGATCTCGTTATGTACAAATTACGAATTCAATAGCAAACGTAAACATATGTGCAGCAGATCTAAAGGTTTGACGTTGAAAACTTACGGCTTAAAAATTTCTGAATCGGCGGTTCGGGTTGATCGGGAACAACACACGAAGAAGCCGGGCACACGAGCGGGATCGGGACAGAGCGGAAATCAGGTCATGTGGGTGCGGTCGGGTCACCGGGCGCATCGCGCAGGGTCGCCGACGGGGTTGGATCGTCGCGACGGGGCTTGCGACGGTCCTCGGCTAGCATCACGGCGCTCGTCTGGTTGGGGTCGGCGGGTCTTAACTCGTCGGCTCTGGTTGATCACGATGTCTCAGTTACCTTCGGGATCTTCTACTATATTACTCTTACACTTCTTCAATTTGTATCGGTGGAGCAACAAGAAGAAGATAAAGCTCGAACAGAAACTTAGAGAGAGAGAGAGAGAAAGAGAGGCGCGCGTGTTTTATTACACACATAGGAGAATTCTGATCTATTCTTTTATTTTCTATGAGCTTTACGATTTATATATAGAGCTACATTAGAGCCTTAGGAGATTAGGAATATGACTTCTTAGTTAATTAGACCAACTGTGCGTCAAGCTCACTCCTCTAATTAATTAAATAATATCATGGGCCACTCTCATATATTACTACACTCAATTTTCCTAACTTAATTTAGAATTGAGACTTCAATAATAATAACCGGAATTACCTCATCTTGTTTAAGATATAAGTCCATTAATTAATTCAATCACTAATAATCAAGAATTAATTAATATATTATTATTTCACTGAAGTTAGCGCTCGTTCATCACATTATTACTAGGTCTGAATTTAATCCACCTGCAGGGTTTAGTATAATAATCTTTCATGAACTCACTTTAAGGACATCATCAAACTAAACGTACACGGTGGCTGTACATATCCTAACATCACATCATATACACAATAATATTATCCAAGACATTAGAAATATTAATTCAGTGAGCTGAACCTCACACATGTGAATCAAAATAATATATACTTCATATATATGTCTGTTTAATATCTTACGAGTTAAGAGAACGTAGTAATTAACTGAGGCTTAGTTCGTTTACAACGATCACTATAAAACGAACTTCTTCTCTCTAGGATCCTTTTCAATACATAAATTTACTAGTGTAACTAATCAGTCAAGCCAAACTGTACCGTTGATACTACAACCGTTCGAATGGGGTGTTCATTTCCATCTAGGTTGTGAACCACTATTCTTGTTTCACAAGTAACTGACAGAATGATCTTCGGTTCCCCCGATGACAACCCACTCTATCTAATTGCAAAACAACAGAACGTAGAACTTATTTAATCCAACATGTTTCTCATTCATAAAGAGCAAAAGTGTGATATCATCCAAAACCGAGCTTTTAATATATAATACTAACGTTCCTACCTAGTGGAACTCAACTTTTAAAAAATTAACAAAAATGTGTTAATTTTTCCATCAATTAGAGGCTTTTTTTCCAGCATCCTGACCGTCGCGATGCAATTCCACTCTTACTACTGATAATTTGAAGAAATGTAAAACACTTATAAAATTTTTATGAACATTTCAAATTGCTACTAACATACTTTCTGTTGTTTACTATTCTACTGATCAACTCGTGCTAGTTCAATGTGAAGTTGTAATGTAGGGATTTAGAGATATTTTTGCTACTGATCATAACATAAATGATGACCTTGTAAGAGATATTTTAAGAAATTGGTTCAAATAATATTTTTATATTCTCGATATATTTGTAATTGTGTATTTGTTAGATCCGTCACTGCGCGTAAATGGTTTGCTACGCTAACTCTACACTTATTATAAATTTTTGTATCAAGGTCCTCTTCCTTTTGATGTTATTCCTTTCATTGAAAAAACCTAACCCACCGCTTCTCGTCGAGCAAGCAAAATTTTACTGTATGTCTTGTTTAAGAAAATAATAATAGGACAAGGGAAAAAGTCGATGACATTTTCTTCTTTTGCTTCTGATCTTTTCTTATTCGTATTACCAATAACCAACGCTGCATATAGGCTCAAACTTTGTTGATTATGCTACAAATCATAATTTCTACAATAATGCTAAAATTACAAGAGATATGAGAAAGTATATGGTGAACTTGATCATTACATGTCCTCAGATATCAGATTTACGATTGCCAGACTGTCAGTTCCGCTAATCACCTTTCATGTCTTGGATTGGTGGTAAAAAATGAATGCCACTTATCATGTACCATGCTTGATGGTCAAGGATATTTTTGTTGTCCAGGCCTCAATTGTGGCGATTGAACAAGCTTTTAGTGAGAGAGGATATACACTGGACGCACGACGATTTAGGTTGATGTCAAGAAACTTGAAAGCTCAAATTGTGTTTAGTGTTTGAAAGAAGATCGAACGAAAGACACAAATGACCATGCTAAGTATCGAAGAGGATGACAAAGACACGAACAATTTACCAGTACTAGAGAAACCGTCGTGACCAAAGTCGACAACTATTATGACTATGATTACAAGATCGTTTAACGCATCCTGCCACCTTTTTTCATCAATGTAAGTAAGGTAATAAAACTACGAGGACTTTGATTCCAAAGGTAAGGGATACATAGACAATTTAATGGATATATTATAAGTTAAATATCATTTGTGACCGAAATATTTATATTAACTTTTAATGTCAACTAAGCTGAAGTTCATTTTTTTAACCCCTCACTCCATTTATTTAAATGTCAGAAGCATCAGTTTAACTCGGTTCGGCCCGAAGTCAAAAGATATGTTCTAAATCGGGAACCGCCAGTTTGTTGAACCGACATGTAAAAGTATCTGCGCAAGTTCCAGTTCACATAAAATGTGAACCTGATTCAGGGCGGTTCCAAACCAAAATTGGCCCATGGCCATTTCTAACCTCTAGGAATGACTTAAAGTTTTAGAAATTTTTGGAGGCTTGGAACACCCGCAAGACAAGTGAGAAAGCAGAGAAGAAGAGATCAACCAAGACGAATAAACTTTTTCTTTATTTTTTCTTCCCTATTTTTGAACTCAGCGTTTATATTTATTTACCTGATTTTGGAAGCATGTTTCTAGGTTAAGTTAAAGGATTGTAGGATATGTTAGTACTCAAATTTATTTATGATGTAATTA